GGGACCTTTGTACAAACTACATTTTTGAAATCATACTTTAAATTATCCAAAAACTTGTAGTCTTCATAGGTTTGTCCATTTATGGTTAATTTTGTTTAACTCACCACTTCCCTTCTCCTATTCCTCATCTCTCTGCCTCTCTTCCACATAAACCCTTAAACATAATATCCCCTTGACGTCTTTCTTTCATATCTCAAATATTCTATTGTCTCCTCTAAATATTTCAATTGTGTTTCAAGAAAGTAAGCTTCTATATGTCTTTTATATATGTCCTTAATTTTGATTAACCCCTCTTTCACTCTGCCCTTTCATTTTCTTGAACTCTACACCTGCCTCCAAGCTTATCTGATCCCAGAAATTCCCCTTTTCATTTTCATTTTACCTCTCTTCTAATATGTATGTCTCCTAATGAGGACTACTTATAGTTTCCTAGTTTTCATATGTGTTCATATTAAACACATTAAACAGGAGCATTGAAACTAGAATCCACATGAAAGAAAATATGAAGTACTTGTGTTACTGCATCTGGATTGCCTCGCTCAGTGTCTTAAGTTATGTTACAAAATGAATTAAGGTAGGAACTCATCTTTGAAAACTTTATGGGCTCAAGTCATTCTACATTATCATAAAACAAATGTCATGATTAAATTTGGATGTTAGAGATTAATGAGATAACATTTTTATCACATTGAACTATGTGTTTTGTGATTTTAAATTTAAAAAAGTCTTTTGGATATTAAAATTCAAATTTCATGTCAAGTACATGTGATATTAAATATTACATTCTTTTCCAACCATTTAAATATCTATTTTAGTGCCCAGGCCGAATGAAAACAGAATGAATAGTAAGCCAGTTTTAACCCATAGGCATCACTTAGCCAAACCACAATCTGGCTGAATAATGTCTTGAAACTTTGAAGACATTATCAAATTCTCTTTCAACATATTCTTTTGCTTTCTGAATTATTATTATTTTATTAATTTTTTACAGTGTACAAATGTGGGGTTGATTGTATTGTTTTGATATTTGCCTGAATTGTGTACTTGTCAAAACAGCATAACTATCACAGCTTCCACGTGTCTTTTCTCTCAGTTGAAACATTCAAAGTATTCTTCAAGATATTCAATAACATAATTGTGATTTACTATAGTTACTCTGTTACGCTATACAAAACTAGGAATTATTTATGCTTTCCAACTACTGATTTAGATTTTTTGAACAAAGTTTTTTTCTCCCATCCCCTCTCAAGCTCCATTAAGCCATTACACATTTTTGGCAGAAAGGTAAAATGGTGTGGACTTTATGGAAAACCACAGGTAGGTGTAACTGGAGTATTCCTGTGTCCACTTGGCTCCTGTAGCAGCTCAGGCCCAATTGAACACAGAGACTTATATTACTTGTAAACTGTATGGCTGTAGCAGGCCTCTTGATATCTGTTCTTATATCTTAAATTAACCCATTTCTATTAATCTAAAAGTTGCCATGTGGCTTGTGGCTCACTGGTATCTTACATCATGCTTCTCCTCATGGTGGCTGGCAGCATCTCCTGCCTCAGCCTTCTTCCACCCAGCATTCTCCTCTCTCCTTGTCCTGCCTACACTATCCTTCCTGCCTGGCTACTGGCCAATCAGTGTTCCATTTATCAATCAATCATAGCAACATATATTCACAGCATACAGGACATGCCACAGCAGGTAGGTTCATTAAAAAATTAAGTATTGGACAACTATATAACCCAGCAATCCTACAGTTAGTCACCGACTTAAAAGAAATAACATCAATATATGTAATTATTCAGCTCTCTTCACGGTATTAAAGGCAAGGAATTAATAAACTAAGTGTCCATCAATGGGTGAATACATTATACTGGTATATGGGAAGCAATAAAATATTATTCATCCATTAAAATATGAAAATTTGTCATTTTCACAGTATAGACAAGCATGGAAGTGTCAATTAAGTGAAAGACATAGCTACAAGAATAGTTGTATTACCAGAACTCCCTCATACTGAATACATGGAATGAAGTAAGATAAACTGACTACATTAATTTTGAAAATTTCAAAATAATAGAGGAAATCAACCTAGAGAAGGAACAATGTATTTAGGCTCACAGTCTCAGAGGTCTTAGTGCATGATTCTTTGGGCATATTTCTGTGCACCTGTAGCAGGTCAGAACATCATGGTGGGAAGGCTGCAATGGAAGGAAGCAGGCTCAGGAAGTCACTGGGATCAAAATGTCCCCATCCAAGGCAAACCTCAGTAACAGACTTCTTCCATCTGGCCCCATGCCCTAAGTTTTCATCACCTCTTACAGCACCAACAGTTGATAGCAAAGTCCTTTGCATGTGGATTTTGTGTAGATTTATGATTCAAACCATAATAGATAGATAAATTATGGTTTTATATGTTAGAGTTTATTTCTACATGTGTCCTAGCCAACTTCATGAATCACCATCTTAAACATTAACCATTCATTTAACTTTCTTCTTAAGGTACCAATCTGACCATTGGAGAGCTTCAATTGTTCAAAGAAGTAAGTGGTAACTCAAAGACATAATATGTGCCAGAACATGATAATCAGTAGAAGGAAGCATTAGGGTATGCTAAGTGTAATAAAAGATTCATCTTTAAATGCAATGATACAACAAGGCAAAAGTTAGGGTCTAGATAATATAAGAACTTGAACTAACACAATCATTTCAGTGACAGTATTTTTTATTCTTTGATGATTTCACAAATTTTATGAATTTTAATCACTTTCACCCCCATTATTATCTCACATTCCCCTCCTCCGCTGATACCTTTCTCTTTTCCAAGAAGTTGCCTTTTGACTTTTGCATCATGTGTGGGTGTACGTGTGTGTGTGTGTGTGTGTGTGTGTGTGTGTGTGTGTGTGTATTTAGTTTTATTAGATTTCCTTGCATCTGCACAGTAGCTTATTTATTGGAAGAAGGAAGGGGATCAGTGGTGACACCATTGGAGTACATGATCACCTTTTTTTTTCAACAACTAATTACTGCCATTAGTCCTTCAGAGAGCAGAGAAACATTTTTTAAAGATGAGGAGAAAGTCTGTTGACTGAAGCCTTGAATAGAAAGTTTTAGGTACTTTCCATGACTAAAGCTTAATATTAAAACTACACCTGGCTGAAAATGAAAACCAAGTTACACAGTTTGGGTATCCATTTTTTTTTCTAAAATAGAAACAGAAATAATGTATACTGAAGAGATTCCTTGACATGACCATCACAAAAAAACTTGGTCACTAAGTTGCAGTACCAGGACCATCGTGACAAGCTACAAGTCTACAGATTTTCCCAGAGAGACTCTAGAATTGATATTTCATTCTAATTCCTATGAAGCAAATATAGGGAGTTTGAAAACATAAAGAAGTTACAAACACAATCACAGTTTAAATTATTAATACCACCCTACCCTCAATATTAAAATTTAGAATTCTACATTGTAGCTGGAGAATTTCTCTCCAGCTCCCGCTGCCAAGTCCCGCCAGTCCCAGAGCCTACTTATAAAATAAACACACAGATTCTTACATTATTTAAACTGTTTGGCCATTAGCTCAGGCCTATCATTGTCTAGCTCTTACTCTTGTATTTAGCCCATTTCTATTAATCTTTACTTTGCCATGTGGCTCATGGCTTACCGGTACTTTACATCTTCCTTGTCCTGGTGGCGGCTCCAGGCAATATCTCTTTGCTCCCTCCTTCCTCAATTCTCCTCTCTCCTTGTCCCGCCTATGCTTCCTGCCTGGTCACTGGCCAATCAGTGCTTTATTTATATAGAATGATATCCACAGCACTACATACCAGCACTCTATGTTTCTTAAGATGCATTCTAAATCTTTGGATAAGAATCATTTGACAATCATCAGGAGTATCATTACTCTCTGTGTTTAAATTACCATCTTTCATTATCTTGCTCTGATTTCTCTTGCACATACTCGATTCTGTATCTCTGTTACTGAAATAATAGTTACTCAAAAATAATCTCAAGCATCAGGAATGACTCCTTTTTGCTGTGTGCTGGTAACAGAGCAATATTTGCCAAGTATTTGTAAATGTGCCCTTTGCCTTCAGTAAGAACAAACTAAGAATGAGTAAGGGTGGATAGATAAATTAACCATCAAGATAAATTAACCTTTTAGGATTTTACATTGGGCCTCAAAAGGCTACCATTTTTAACTGTACTGATCACATTTGAATGCACACTCTAGTGGGACTTTAGTGGACTGGTTAATAGCCTGAAGCAGGTGGGAGGTTATTCACTTTTAAATTAATCTGTTAGTTCAGTGTTTAAAATATTGTTAATGTGAAAGGGGTGGAAATAACAATGCTAGTTGTCATATAGTGAGACTTTATACCTAAAAGTCAGATTAACATATCACAGAATTTATCCTTTTCTTCTCTTTGGTTTGGTGAAGACAAGAAAGTCTTTTGTACAAGACATTTTATCATTTAACTGAGATTTCAAATACATTAGAAAGCAAATTACTGAAACATGAAGAGTATTAGCTAATGAAAAGTAGATACTTTGGGAGATTGTACTGTGTATGATACTTGCATATTCTCAATATAGTTTCTGGGCTAAAATTTCATTTGCATATGAACATTTTATAGTATCCTTTGTATATCAAGATCATTAAGTTTACAAAGTCCTTGGAAATAAATGAATTCTGCCATTCCTGCTGAAACTATAGATTTTATCGAAAATTTATAGTGAAGACAGACATGGTTAACAAAAGCCTTAAGAGGTAACATTCAGCTCTAGTAAGGGACTTGTACTTTAATACTTCTTAACCAAACTTATTTGCAAATACCTCCAATAATTGAATAAACACAAGTTCTTAAATCATATAAGTTTTTATAATATTTAAGAGAAAACGTGCTTAATAAGGGACATTTGTGCTGTAAAGCACCACTGTGGGAAGCTGGATTTGTACAAGGGTTGTATGTAGAAAGATTTTTAAGCTAGAGATTTTATGCTTAGTCATATACATTTGAATTAACAGGCCTATAAAATATCTGCTTCAATGTCATTTTCTTAAGTTTGCCTTGGCTATTGCCTTGCTGACTGCTTCCTTCACATCTTTATTCCTGAGACTGTATATCATGGGGTTCAGCATGGGAATCACAGTGGTATAAAACACAGCCACCATCTTTCCCTGTTCCACAGACTCCTCCGTTGGCCTTCTGAGATACATGAATATAAGGGTTCCGTAAAACATGGAAACATCTGTCAGGTGTGATCCACAGGTGGAGAACGCCTTTTTCCTGCCATCAGCAGAGCGCATGCGCAACACGGCGACTACAATGAGCGTGTAAGAGATGAGAACCACTGACAGGGAATATGTGAAGTTAATTCCGGCAATAACAATCATCGTGTACTCTTTAATATGCACTCCTCCACAGGCAATCTTGATAAGAGGAGGGTCAGCACAATAGAAGTGGTTGATTTCAAAGTTTCCACAGAAATATAAACCATAGGTCCACAGAGTGCAGATAAGACTCACAGAGAACCCGTAGACATAAGGCACAGAAATAAGGCGGACACAGACAGCCCTGGACATCTTGCTGCCATAGAGCAAAGGGTTGCAGATAGCCATGTAGCGATCAAAGGCCATCACGGCCAGAATATAGACCTCCACATGGACCAGGGCAATGAAAAAGTAACACTGTATCAGACACCCCACGTAGGAAATGGTTTTTGTTTCTGATAGTAAGTTTTCCAGCATTTTGGGGGTAACATTGGAGGAAAACAACACATCCACAAAGGACAAATGACTTAGAAAAAAGTACATAGGACTCTGAAGCTGGGGGCTGACGCTGATCAGAATGATCATACCAATGTTGCCAAGCAGAGTGACCATGTAAACCACCAGGAACACCACAAAGAAGAGGACCTGGAGTTCCTGACGCCTTGTCAAGCCCACAAGGAGGAATTCTGTCACATCTGTGAAATTTGGCATTGCCTTAATACAAAGTCTATGCTTCCTGGAAAGAAAAAAAAACCATATTTATAAATACATTTTTTATTCTTAAAAGTTTTTATTTAATTTTTTATCCTTGGTATACACTTTATAAAATGTTGCAGATTTTTTCATATGCCTACTGTTGGAATTCAATATACTACATGTAAAATGGTTTGTTTGATCATGTAACAGAAAAGCTTGTGAATTTTCAAATCTGCTACAGGGTAGCCTGGTATAGACATCCAGAATTTTAATAAATCTGTTGTGAAGGAATTTTAAATCTTATAAATTGTTAGAATGATAAAAGCTGCAGAAACACAAAGATCCAGTTTTCCATAGTGATGCTTTACTGCATGATTATCTCTTATTTAGCATGTCTTATCTTAAATACTCAATCATATAATGAAAATTGACATGTAGTCACTCAAACTGTAATTAATTTCTGTTAATTCAGTATTATTTGGGGGTAATTTACAAATTAGTTTTAATTAATATTACTCATGTGAAAATCTCTTACAATAGGAGGGGAGGAAACTGTGGTCAAGATGTATTTTACAAGAGATGAATAAATAAAAAAGAGTTGATTATTACCTCTTAGGGAAACAATTATGCAAACATTTCTTCATTGTAGGTTTTGTAAAATCTATAATTTCAGCATGAATAACAAAATAAGAATTAATTCATTTCTATACTCATTTTGAGGAGCACAGAAATTTGATGATTTTGGTATACAAAATATATTGTAAAATGTTCATATACAAATTAATATTTATCAGTGAAGCTGCATTGAGAATATACAAATATTCTTAGTACAGCCTAAGGTTCCCTCAGTTTATGACATTCAGGTGAATTCATGAGCTTTCCTATGTAAAACACCTTGACTTAAAAGTAAATAATTCATATTTTCTCATTAGGATTTAACTTGGCAGTACTTGTAAATAATATACAAGTTTTACATATAAAATATATAAACTACAGCATCATGGCATTTAAGAAATGTGCACTAGGGCCAGGCGGTGGTGGAGCACACCTTTAATCCCAGCACTCAGGAGGCAGAGTCAAGCAGATCTCTGTGAGTTCAAGGCCAGCCTGGTCTACAGAGCTAGATTCAGAACGGGCACCAAAGCTACACAGAGAAACCCTGTCTCGAAAAACCAAAGAAATGCACACTAAAACTAACTCTGTTTGTTCAGTAATGATCAAATGTGTGCTCTTTCAGTACATGTAATTACAGCGCTCTGGTAACAGGGATTCTCTTGATAGAGGAATTCCTTAAACTGCCTAATATATATATATATTCACACATACAATGTCTAGTGACACAGTTCCAGGTTTAAAATATTTGTATAAACAGTCAATCATTTTTTCATGAATGGTGCTATAAATAGTTTTCTGTCTGCATGTCAGTTTTATAAGTGAGGGCATGGAAGCAGTTAGAGATTTAGAAGCTCTCCTTGGGTCAGAGGTCTACTAACTGACAGGATCACGCTGTTAAGCAATTAATTTAGTACATCTTTTGTGCTTTTAATAGACTCTTTTCAAACTCATTTGATAACTTAGCCTAATAACATTTTAATTTTAATTGAAATTTATTATTGATTATTCTTCAAGGCAGAAACAAACCATTCAATTTTCACTTAAGCTTCTATGAATTAATTTGGGTTTCTTGAACCCCAGATGTCTAGGCTTCAGAGACCAAGGGCCATCATTTCTTTATTCTGCCCTAAATTTTGATGAAGTCTCAGACAAATGATCAGAAAAGTGACTTCTGTGAAAACACCAATTTATCACATGAATGAATGTTACCTACAAAACAGTAGAATGTGTAATTTACAGATAAGAAAGTTTGATTGTACTAGCACTGTACTTTTCTCATAAAGATAAACAACAAAATTATATATATATATATATATATATATATATGTATAACTTGATTTGTTACTCCAATAAATTCCCAAGTCCATTTATGCTTATATTTTTAAAAAGCAGTCCAACAAATTCTTTTGATAACAAATAAGCCAGTGGAAAATGACATGAATTTTTCTTTCAAGGTGGCACCTAGAATCACTGTATCCAACTATCAATCTATACTGCAACTATCCTAAAATATACAGACCTACCTTGAAGGAGGAAGAGAACAGAAAATGGTAATTTCTCAATATTTATGATATAGTGTTGCTCATTAAGAACACTGAGGTAATCTCCCAAAGGCACTACCAAAATAATTATGAAAGAAATGATGGCTGAAACACTAGCAAGATCTCCTGGGTGGAAGTAGAATAAACTTGATAGAATAAGAGCTCTGTGGTCAGCAGTCTTGACATCTTCTCATTTCTTTCCTGCTGGCACATGGTTCTGTCCACTTTCCTTCACAAAATGTCACTTGCAGATCCAAAATATCTGTGTGAGGATAGATGACTTCCACAGTGCATGCCAGATGCAACTTTGTGTCAATTTCAGATGTCAAAGGGGATGGGGTTCAAAGTGTCAGTTACTTGGCAGAATTTGGGCAAATGGATAGAAATACAAGTATAGAGTAAATTAGAAAATGAACTAAGAAATGAAGCCCATCTGCAATCAAAACCATACTTTTAATACTTTACCTAAATTTATACAAACATCATTTTCCAACTTTGATAGTCATACTTATAAAGATTACAAAAACTTTTCATAGTGTGGATGTGATGATTTCAGATAGAATGGGATAACCATCTCTCTCAATACCAATTACCTATGAAGATTTTAAAAATGTGTAATTATTTGTGTGATCCTGCTTTAACAGACTTCAGTATCTGACTTCCTTTATGAGATTGAAATTAGTATTATCCTCAGATGGAAGAAAATATGAATATGTAAAATAACTATGAGGAACTATCTTTAAACCAGTTTAGACAGCTGACAAGCTGAAGAAAATAATACTGTCCATCAACTCTAAGGTATGTTCTACATCAATTTGGTTGGCTAAGTTGAGGACAGAATTATACTCAGGCAAAGTTTTCCTCTGCATCTTCAACATCCAAGAACTCACATGTCTTAAATTCCTTCATTCCTATTATGAAGAAAGTTCATTGTAGGAACATCTTTGCACCAAAAAATTATAATTTAATATATAACAGCACAAGAAAATAAAGATTAAAAAAGCAAAAAAATACTTGTCTAGCCATACTTTTTCTATACCAAAGCAAAATTAATTTATAAGAAAATTAATTTTAATAGAATAAGTTTTTAAATTGTTTGCACATCATGTAATTTATAAGTGAATACAAAAGAACATATATCATATTTTGACAGATTCCAATATAATTTTTAAGACATGGATCACCCTGAATAATTTTACTTTCAAATGCAAAAAGCAGCTAAAAATTGGTGGTACTCTATCATATACACAGATAGACAAAATATTTGAGAGGAATGTCAGTTTAATTTACTAAGGTTTTCAAGAGAACATACTTTACAGGGACACATAGACTCTACAATGCTACCTGCCCTTCAGTCAATCTAAACATAGTTCAAGAGAAGAATTATGAAAATTGGAATGTGTGACCACATGAATATTAAAAGTGGAAGCATGGGAAAACAATGAGAAATCTATCATGTCTAAAAATAACAACAAAGGCATTTTTAAAAAGCCATGTTTTCATTATAAAAATCATAGTAATTGAATGAATCTCCCCTTCATATTTAAAGAATCTGTGAAAGAAAACAATCACATAAACATAAGAAGGAAAAACAAAGTTGTGTTCTTGTTAATATCATAACTTAAATATGCTATTTCATGTCTCCCAAAATCAATTTCTAAATGTATAAAAAAAAACCACCATAGACTCACATGATACATTTAAATAAGAAGGAACAGTATAATCTAGTTCCAGCAAAGCATGTTACATTAACATTTAACAAAGTGAGCCTATGAGTTCAACATTTTGTCATTTCAATTATTGTATGCACTTGAATCTGTTTTTCAGTGTATTCATAAGTATTTCTCAATACATTTTATTTTTCTCTAATTTGCATGCCCCATTTTTTCCCTTTCTACCCATAAAGTAACTTAAGATTCCTGTTCTCACATTTGAGATAATAATCTGCTTTCCCAGAAAAAGAATAGAAAACAAAATAGGAAAAGTTTTATTTTATTTAGTTAAGAACTTCCTACTAATCATTTTGTCCATGGCTTCCTTGACATCCTTGTTCCTCAGACTGTAAATCATGGGATTCAACATGGGGATCACTGTAGTATAGAACACAGCCACCATCTTTCCTTGTTCCACTGACTCTTCAGTGGGTCTTCGGAGATACATGAAAATGAGAGTACCATAAAATATGCCAACTGCTGTGAGGTGAGACCCACAGGTAGAAAATGCCTTGCGCCTGCCTTCTGCTGAGCGCATTCGGAGAATGGCAATGAGAATGAACAGGTAGGAGATGATGACAACAATCAAGGAATATGTAAAGTTAATGCCTGCAAGGAAGAGCATTGTATACTCTTTCACAAAAGTCCCCGCACAGGCCATCTTGATGAGAGGTGGATCTGCACAGTAGAAGTGGTTGATCTCCGTTTTCCCACAGAAGTACAAGCCATAAGTCCATAATGTTGCAGCCAGACTGGTCAGAAACCCATATATGTAGGGAAAAGAAATGAGTCGAATGCAGACCACCCTTGACATTTTACTGCCATAGAGCAGAGGCTTCCCAATTGCCATGTACCTATCAAAGGCCATCACAGAAAGAATGAAGATTTCCACATGCACAAGGGCAATGAAGAAGAAGCACTGTACCAAACAGCCAGCATAGGAAATTGTTTTTGTCTTTGACAGCAAATTTTCCAGCATTTTAGGAGTGACATTGGAAGAAAACCACACATCAATAAATGACAAATGGCTGAGGAAAAAATACATTGGGCTGCTAAGCTGTGG